AAATGCTAATATATTCCACTTGTACTTTAATAAATACAAATTTCTTTAATAAAAAATAATGACAGTCATTTTATGTATCTTTTTGAAGAAATGTGATAGTATTATTAATTTGATGAATCATCTCCTTTTGATTTTAAACATTTCTAAAAAAAATTTTTCGCGCATTTACACCGATCCTTTTTATCAGATTTAAGGAATGTATAGAGAATGATGTTATCAATCAAAACTATTTCAAATGATATTTTCAACCCAAATTTCAATTAATTCTCTTTCTTCGTTTACTTAATTATAATTCATTTTACACTTCTTAACGTTCCCACAAACATTCCCGCTCAATTTTTTCTTTACAATGAATTAACGAATCCATCATATGCAAAATTACACACAATGTTATAGCACATTTTATGACCTTTCTTTCCTTTCAAAGAAAAAAATGATTGATTTGAAAAAGTTGAATTATTTCCAAAATTCAACAAATTATTTTCATTCTTTCTAACAACAATATATAATGTAACCATTGTAAATGTGTTTTTTTTTTTGTAAATAATAAATAAAAGGAATTGTATTTAATGAAATTTTCGAATGTACCATGTGATATTAAATGATCAAATAAAATTTGTCCTTTTCACCGTTTATTATTGAATTACTCATTTAGCGACTGTTTACCTAATCAATTTCTTTTCATTTACAAAGATTGAAACGTTACTGCAGTTTTACTGCGAATCTTTCATTCATTTCTTAATGAGAAGTTTCTAATTTTTCACAACGATGAATTTTTTTTTTGTTATATATAACAATTTTTATGTGGACAATATTTTATATTATATATCATATTTTGTATATTTCATATCATGCATTTCTATATTTAATATTAATAATAGTACACATATTTGGTAGTTTTTCATCTTAGTGATTCCAACTGAATGATAATTAATGATTTCTATAACGATTGATAATTAATAATTCTATAACGATTGATAATTAATAATTCTGTAACGATTGATAATTAATGATTTCTATAACGATTGGTATACATATAATGCTTTTTGGCATTATTAAAATTGTAATATAAGAACCAAAATTGGAAATTCAAATATTTAAACTGTTTTTTCACTTCCCATGAAAAAATAATTAAAACAATTTCTGAGATGCAAATTTTTAAAAAAATTTAACAATATGAAAGACAGAAAGAATTAATGAAATGTTATAAATCGGAATTCTTTTTCAAGCGTACTTCCATTTTTTTTTCACCTATAACAAAGAAAAAAATTGTCAAAATTGCACCTTGAAGATGCAATTTTTAGATTTCAACTTTTCCTTTATCATAGCTATATCCTGCCTATAAAAGTTTTAAAATTAAATTTTTATGAAATCATGAACATTTCTGAATTTTATTTGCAAAAAAATGAAAATTTCTAAAGTTGATTTTCATACTGAAAATGGAAAATGTTTGCGAAAAAACTTCGAAGTTTTCTTCTCAATTAATCGTCCGTTTTTCAATATCAATTGCTGTTCACAAAAAATTGCAACAGTCCTTTCTAAAAAATGCAAATTAGAGCTAATGTTTTGAAATTATCTAAATTAATATGGTTTGCGCATTCAAAACTTTTATAATAACATTAGGTATGCTGTAATTCAAGTTTAATACTTTAACCTTTTGCGTAGTAATGAAATAATGTTTTTAAGATGATTAATTTAGAATTCTCATAAACAAATAAGTCGTAAGTTCAAATAAGGGAAAAATGTCGATTATAATTCAGAGAACAATTTTAAGAAATATAAAAATGTGCTGAATGTATGTTTTCATCAATTAATTATATCGCTTTAAATAATGGGATGTTATTCTAATACATATAATTATACCTTAAGAAATTTTTTGCTTATTTGATTTCCGAACGTGAGAAAGTAGCAAACATCAAACGTTTGTTGCATTATTGCTAAATATCGCTTCGAAAATATTGATGTTATGATAAATCAACGATCGATCTTCACAGTTTTGAAGATCGTTCATTCCTCTGTCATAAATAACAGTTTGTTGGCTTTCTGCGTGTTAATCTTCAAAGCTTCAAAAATTTCGACTGTTTGTCAAAATCGATGTATTTCTTATAATAAGCTTTAATATTGAAAATTTCTTGACCGTAAGAAAAATAAATTTTTGAAGAAAAATATATGGAACGTTACGATTGTAGAAAAATCAGTGCATGAACAATTTCGCTATATATATTTCCAAAAACACATTTATTAATTAACTATAAATTCTTCTAGCTAATTAATATTGCATCACTCAATTTACAATTTTTTCTGTTTTCTTGAAAATGATCAACTGTATCAATTTCCTTTAACAATATTTATTAAATTATAAACGAATCATTAAAAGGATTTATTTGAACTGCAAATAAACAAAAAACAACAATGATCTCAACACTTAATACTTCAACAACAACTCTGTGAATCAATTCAAAGATCTTTAATTGTTTATTCTGTTCATCCACCTTGTTCACAACTTGTGTTTCATATAGGCATTTTTTTTGTATTCACTTTCCTGTCCTTGTAAAGTAGATACCAGCCATTTTGTTTTTTCTTTCCGAGCCTTATCACTCTCTAACATTTCCTGCCGTTTTTCTCTGAAAAATTAATTGATGTAAGAAAATTTCTTTTTAACTTCAGATATAAACCAATATCAAATTCAAAACATCAAATATTAAATGCATATTAAAATACGTACCTATTTAAAAACTGATTATCACGACGCAGTTCTCGAACTGTTCCACGTAATTCTTTCCTATACTTTTTAGTGAGTTGTTTGATTTCAACCTTTTTCGACTTCTTTGTGATGGTTTTATTGTGGTGCGCCTTTCCTGCATCATAATTCTCTTCAAAACGTGGTTCCAATAGGTCCAACATCCTGAATTATGACATAATCAATAATTGACGAATAAAGAGATTATTGAACAACAATAAGATGATACAAATGCGAGCAAATTCTCTACGAAGAAATTGACTTTTTCTGTTTCGCCGGACGTTGCAGTTGTTTCAGTAAATTTCTTGAAGACTGAGTGGTGATAAACGATTCCAGTTCAGATAATTGCGTCAGTAACTGAGTCGGATATAGATTACGTGGTAATCGTGACAACAAGCCCGAAAGTGGCCTAAAACTTTCACTCTAATGTAAGGAATTTCCTAATCAATTAATTTAAAGATACTATCTTCCTCTACCTTTGTCAGAAAAAAATATGAAAATTGAAATACCTGAAGATTATGGAGAAGCTGACAATGTTAGAATAAATGAAGCTAAATCGATATAAAACGGTTAAAGCAATACTTAGAATGCACAATCGATTTTTGTTGTTTTCTTCAAAGCTGAAAAAATTATTTATAAAGATTGGAAAAAAATTAAATTCGCAATTCTTGATATTAAAAAGAAATTTACGAATTATCATTTTCATAACTAATTTAGTAGCTTTTTACCGAAGTTCAATGAATTAGAAAGTAAGTTAAAGGAAATGATTTAATAACGTTTCACAAAAGGATTAATGTTTGCCTGCTTGGCATGCAGCGTTAGAAAATGTATTTCATTACGTAATTGAAATTTGATATAATAGAGAATAACAACCACAAGCAATAATAATAAATTACTTTAGGCTACTTATTATTCTTCCGGATTTATCCAATCCTTCTCAGATTTTGACGTAGCTGCTTAAGAACGATACTTTTTGCTCGCTGCAAACCCAACTCTTGTACACATTATTTTCAAAAAAAAAAGCCGACAATTTACCTATCTATGTCATCCCTGAACACTTCTGTTGCATTTAGTTGTGCAGGTATTTCAATCATTGAACACTAGAAATGATTACTTGATTATAGACCCATTCTTAAGCTTTAAAAAGAAAAATTTTTTCAAATGAATTAAAAAAAAATGATTTCATGTATTTGAAAATTTATCGAATAACATAATCAAAACTGATATACGAATAACTAACATCATCAGTAACAAAAAGCATCCTACGATGTGGCAATGATATGGGAAAGGTTGCCGCTGGACAACGTTCATCATCCTTGTTTTCAACTGCTATCAAAAAAACTCCACGAAGAAAAGCGATAACCTCGGGCAGATATCTATAAAATCCATTATATTTACTGTTCTATTTCCAAAAATTAAGAATAATTTCAATACTCTGATTTAAAATTTACCGAAAATATGCACTGTTTACCTCAATTCAACCGTCATTTTAAAAATTTTATCAGTAATTCCAGAATTAACATGTAGCACAAACTGTACCTCTTACTTTCTTCGACAAATGAACCTAATATTCTGACCATTAATAGCATGCGTGCAATGTCTTTTATACTGCATATCCTTGCAACTGAAATAAGACGGCAAGCAAATGCAAGTGATGGACTGACAACAGGATGAAACATGTCACGCATTGGGTACAAAGTTGAAGCCAATTTCAGAAATGCAATAAAGCGAAATGTAAACATCGCGCGTGGCGCACGCATATGTAGTGCATATTGCTGACGTAAGAGAGCACGCATGCAACGTACACCATGCTCGACATTAAACTGAAACATAGTGAAATGATTGAAAAGTACAACTTCAATACTGAAAGTAAATTTAACAAAATCGATTGAAAAAAGTGAACTTAAAAACTAGCCTTCATCAGAAAATATAATCCTCGTGCTATATAACCAAAGAGAGCTGTTTTTTCCATGTGTTCCTTGGATAAGTCATCGTAATATCTAAAAAATAGTTGGAGTGAGAAATTTTTCTAAGCGAATTTTCAACAAATTTCTTCAACATTCACTAACCAAAAGTAATTCTCTTATTTTAAAGGTATGTTTTACTTGCATCACGACAGCTGCTTTATCGAAGGAAAACTAAAAGTGATAATTGAAATACCTGAGAAGAAATATAAACAGTTGGCCAAGTCGGGATTTATTCCCTTCACGAAGACTTGGATGATAGAGCTTAATTAATCTCTCAATGACTACTTCACAGTTTGCATCATTCTGAGCATCCAGTAACTTTTTCAGATTTTCATATTTCTGAGGCAAATCAATCACAAAAGGTAATTCCCCCTTTTCTGTTCCATTCCAAACTGCAATTAATGTTAACTCAGCAACTTATTTCAGATATGTGTTGTTATAAATTATGAATCAAATTAACACTTTAAAAATTAGTACGTATATATTTTTCATTAGAATTGCAATAAACCTGATTTTTTTTCAAATTTTACAAAGTCTGGAAATCAACCTAAGTCTAATTGGTGATATCTTAACGTTTTTTTTTAATCAATTTATTCTATCAATAGTGCCAAGACAAATCGTAGAATTATGTTTTACAGCAAAATCTCATATCGATCTCATACAAATGGTTACTTTTGATAGAAGGTCTTATTGTACAACTATATCAACGACGATGAAATACTGCACTGAATGCCTTAGATAATTGATTCCAAAAATGAATTGCACAAGATAGTTCCAATCGATCGTTTTGAATCTCAAAATGATAATACAATAACAAACTTTCCATCTCTGCATCTGCACCAATGTTTCTCGTACTGGAATGCGGCAAATCGGTTTGATCAACGTCATTCATCATTGAATCAAAATCTTTTTCTTCGTCTTCATCCATTTCTTCGCTATCCGTTTCAATATCTGATGATTCAATACGTACTACTTTTATTCGTCCCCTTTTAAGCTAAAAGTGCAACAAAATTTTGGAAGTAGAAAACCAAAGAATTACGAACAACATATTTGCATGACTGAACAAATATTTTTTTCTAAGACTACCGGATACAGATTTCGAAAAAGTGGTATATTGGTATAACAACCTCACATTCAATATAAATGTCAAACTTTGCAATCGCACCTTCTCTGCATTCATAAGCACACCTGAGCTGTCGTATTTCACTGTAAAAACTTCGTTTTTGTTACCATCACTTTTTGATTTCTTTTTTGTTTCGTTACCCTAGAAAACTTGTCATAAAATGTATCGCATAACAGCATATTGTCGAAAAAATTCCAATTATTGCTTAAAATATATCAAGCAAACAAGTTTCGAAAGTAACGTAAAACCTGATCCATTCGGGAAAGACGAGCTTTTTCTTGCCTTATTAGCTTCTCGCGCTCTTCATGTGCTTTCTCTTCTTCTGTTTTATGTCGTTCACTTGCTTCTCCTCTTTTCCCACTATCCATTTGAAGTTCGTAGAACTGAAAAATTAACTAACATGATGAAACTAAATTTTCTAGCGAAAAATACTGAACCTTGCAAATACTGTAACAAAATTACGCCCAACAAAAAGAATAAAATGACTGAAACACAAAAGAAAAGTAAGTAAATTCCAAATCTGGAATATAAACTTACCAAATAATCGTAATCGTCTTTTTCAGTTCGATTTATATTTAATTTATCTTTCACAGGCCTCACAAAGCTGGCCATTGCATTAGTTTGTTGCATTTTATTCCACTTTTCATCCAACCTTTCTGTTGCATTTTCACGCTCATCACGAGCTAACTTCTTATCGTAACGTTGTTGCTTTGTTCTTGCTATCAGTTCAGCGATAAAATCTTGCCTATACACATAGCATACAGATTTCAAAACATTTATCACTCTTAATAAACAAAAAATATCGTCGTAAAGAAGAGTTTTAAGAAAAAAAAATATTTTACTACATAATCCTGAAAGAATGTAAAATAAATGCTAGCAAAAATAAGGGACAGAATATCCTCATTCTCCCTAATATCAAACTTTTTCCTTAAAGGACAGAGATAAATGTTGTAGAATGGATTCAACTGAATGTTAGGTTTTCATGTACAAATTAAAAAAGGTGGAACTCTAAATTGTCAATATTTTTAGATTTCCTAGATACATCTCAAATTATAATAACCTTCTGATGGCTGTATTTTCTGTTGATGCTGAAATTCCACCACCAAAATGAACTGCAGCCACAATATCTGCATCTATATTTCCTTCTCCTCTTACCTCGTCATCATCATCCTCATCGCTTAACATCGTACGATCATACTTCTCCACTTCAGTTAATTCTCGTCCCTTATGAGTCAGTTTTATGTCTGAAAAATTACGATTTGTAGCATGTGCTGGAAAAAGCGGCAATAAACAAATAATATTAACAGCCTTCAAAAAGAAGTGTGAACTCACTTGCTTATATTCAGCACATCAAATAAACCCACGAAACAATGAAACAAGTGAATCACAATCTTTCCTTATACAGTATTTTTATTAATAAAAAAATATTTCATATGCAAAGTTGATGCCTAAAATTTGGAAAAGTTCCATTAAAAGAAATTTACCCTCATCATTTACCAGTTCCGAATTGGTTGTTTTGAAAATTTTTAAATGCTCTTCAGTAAATCGTTTCGACATACATTCTTCATCATCCATCATGCTGTTACCTTCGCCGATACGCTGATCAATAATCTAAAAATGAAACTTCTATCACGTCTTGCTCTTCCCTAATGCTAGAACGCAATATTCAAAAAACAAGAAAAAAAAGATTTTTCTTATACTTTTCAATAAGCTACTAAATGAAGAAAAAACCTTATCTTATTACGTTTTCCACGTTCTTTCCATTCTATTGCCAATGTCTTCGCCCTGTTTTCAAAGGCCTTTTTTTTCGACAATCCCGGTGCTCCACATGGAGCTGATACCGCTTTTGTTCCGAGTATCTACAATGAAATTTGGTGAAATCCTCGGAATGAAATTTTGAATATGAAATAAATCCACCTAGAAAGAAATTCTCACCTTCCACCAACAATCAAATCTAAAATCCTTGAAATTAACAAATATACCTTGTGCTTTGCACGATTGTATTTCAGCTCAAATGGATTTAATCTTATTGGTTGATCTGTCGATTTTTTTACTTTTCCATTATTCCTTCTTTTCACCATGCTAAAAACTCCTTCATAAAAAAAACCTATGAGAAGGAATATAACCCCACATAGTGGTTCAATGCTCATATGAAAGCTTATGAACCAAATTGCCACATGCTCTCCTTTAACATACGTTTAATAAGCTGGCGATGTGTAGCATATATAAATTTGCGGACGAGTAAATAAATTACATGTGCCTTTATAGGTAAAAGCAAATTTAATACAACATTTATTCTTTAAGCAAATAATTTATTTAACACCAGATTTACAGCCGGGACATATTTGCAATGATTCATGCAATAAAACATCACAATCTATACAAAAAGTCGATTTGCAGTTCTTACAAACGAAACTTTTATCATCAAGTTGTCTGATACAAGCAAAACAGGTCCTGAAAAAAAGCAGATAAGAATATAGGCACTTGAAGTAAGCATGTAGTGACGGCTTTATTCAAAAGCATTACTCTAAGAGTTTCAGTCTGTTGGAAACATTAGTACTGTTGGAATGTGAATTCACGCTGGTACTAAGTTCTTATGATTTTGACTTAAGTTTATTTAAAGAGAATACCCTTCCGTTGTATTGATTTCTTCAAAAGCTGGTAATGGCAATAAATTATGCAAAGAACGCGCAAGCTGAGGTGCTGAGATTAAAGTTAATTTGCAGATTCGACATTCAACTGGTAAACTGCAATAACGTGCTCCGCACTGTGGACAGAAAAAACCTCTTCCACCCGGTGACCGAATCTCTGATTGATGACTAAAATTAAGTTTTATTTTGAAAATAAACACTCTTACTAATGAAAACTATTGATAACAAACTTACCATAAACAAAATGAAGGAGAATCTATGCTTTCATGGGCTGGAAAGCCCATTCGAACAACACTGCTCTCGGCATTTCGATTAGATATGGGAGGATTCGTATGCTCATTCAAAACTACTTCGAAATGGGTGTTATTCAGCACTACGTTATAACGCCCTTAAATTAAGCAAAATGTTAAACTATTTCGTTAAAAGAAAATCAAGAAGAGGATCTTTAAGGAACTATCTCTTAAGATGAAAAATATTTACCTGATGTAATAGAACAAAGTTTTTTAAAAACGAAAACTTCCGCACTCAGTGAGATCACCGAACAACGTATGTGATATCTTTTCAGTAACTGAAATAAACATTTAAAATAATCTGTAATATGAAAGCAATCTAATATAATAAGAAAAAAAAACCTTATTTAAGTCTGATTTGGCAAAACAAAGAAAAGAGAAAAAATCGAGAGAGCAAACCTCAAATGTGCCAAAAATACTTGAAGGATCACATGTTGAAAGACTTGCTACGATCAATATTACTTCTCGACTAGCATGACCCGGATAACTACTGAAATATAGGAATTTCTGCACTCTGCTCACATAACACGCATCAAACTCCTGACCTGCTAACCAGTTATCAAGCCCGGTAATTCGTTAAACTTGGAAGTGCACTTGCATCTTTCTCATTCATCCGATACTTAACTGTATCATACCTTAAAATTAGTATATTTCTCACGTATCAATAATAAGATAACAGCATGCTGATTTTGCTAAAACAATGTGTATATATTTTAATCATGCATGTACTTGACGTTACAGTTAAATAAACATGTTGCACGCAAACTTGCATGGATACTCTAATCATATACTAATGAATGCATTTGAAATTTCAATACTCCCCAAAAAGTTTTGGAAAAAGACAAAATCATACTGCAGACTTCTAATGGTGGCCATCAAACCGTTATGCAAAGAAAACTCCCCATGGCACAAGGCTTCCGTTATCGTCGATAAGGATTCCTTCACTAAACGAACATTACCTGGAACAAACCCTCTAATTAACTACTTAATCAACTTGTGGTAAAATTTAATTTATTGAAAAGTTATGAATTTTTAACTCTGTTTTTACGTATACGACAACATTATGAAGCATTATGTGTGTATAATGCTTCATAATGGTGTCGTATACGTAATAATACAACGTCAAAAGTATATAAAAGATTTCCGCCTGTGATTACACTATAAATTAACTTCTTTTCGTGTATACATGATGAACTGATAAAACAATCTATATGAATTAAAACAATTAACTAAACCGGTAAGAGGAATCAGGCGTTCGGCTCTTTTATCTTTGCAAACTACAACACCCACTTGTGAAATAGGGTTCTGCTCTGAAAACTTGTCGAGAAATTGATTTAAAGCCTGAAAATCAAATTACAACCTGGATGATTGTCACATCATTGTTTCATAAACACAAAATTCTGTGATATAAAGTAAAGTGACAGATCAACTCAATCAAAATGAGAGATTTTATCGAAATGGACATATACCATGCGACATTACAAATAATGGAAAAAATTCCTAGAGTAATCAGCATTCTTCCATTCCAATACAATGCGGAATATATTTATTTCGATACTTGTCCATATGATTTGATGTGTAAGACTATGTGCGGATTTTTGTCATATTTCGCTTATTATTCCCAATAAGTTTTAATTTAGAGCTGATCAAAAAAAAAATCGTGTTATTATAAAGAATACCTTAATCGTAACAACAAGACGTGATGGTTGTATTGATTTATCAGCCATTGAAAAAGAGCAATCGATGATTAGATACACATAACGCATCTATGAGATAATCTATTTTATTAAAATTTCGAATATCCATAAATCTCAGAATTTAAAATGAAAGGACATAACAGAAATAAATTTGCTTACAATCCCCAACCGAACTTTAGCCGGCCGACTATTAAAGCGTTTTTTCCGTTTCGTATCAAGTATCAGTTTAGCCACCGATTTCTCAATTGAACCACTTTCATCTTCATGTAGTACATCTCGGATATTCAATCCTAAAATTTACAAACATTAAAATATCGATCAGTCTCATCAACCCTGATATTCGGAACCGTAAACTATCAAATCTTTTTCCTTCTGAAAAAAAAAACTGCCAGAAAGAATCACAAATAGATTCATGTTAAATTAATTCAATGTAACAAAATATGATCATACCATCTGCATAATCCACTTCCCATGTATAACCTTTCGGTTCATCATCATCGTTCATTGTAAATTGTATTCTTAATTATTTAAAATATAATCCTGAAAATTAGCTGGCTTTCAGAGATTTCTTGCAAACTGTGGAAGTGAAATAAGTAAACAGATAAATGTTTAAAATAATCACTGTCCGTTTCTAATTTTGCATTAGAGTTGTTGTGAGAAGTACCACACCTCATGTAAAGATCGCGACGCGTTAATCAATAAATGTTTAAAACAGTCGTCGAATTCACTTATGGTCGGAAAAACCTTACGCGATGTGATGCATAACGGAATGAGAAATGCGAACTACCTACACACGTCCAGATGCTTTCAAAACCAATTTAAAAATAAAAGTCAACTGTGAAATCTGTTAAATCTTAGCAATCCTCGTCGCTCAAGTTATATTTATTGTATGGCTTAATTATGCATTAAGAGTTGCTATGAGAAGTACCAAACTTCATGTGACCATCGCGACGCATTAATCTCGAAATGTACGGGACGGTTTTTTCAGAAAAAAGATATTTACCCCATGTTAGTAACAATCATTTCCGTTATAGTTCGTAGTGCTCTCATATCCCTGTTAGAAAAGATAGTCACCATCCGCAATGCCTAAGATAGGCCATATGATGTTTAGGAAATCAAATAGACATAAATTGTCATTTTGTATTACAAGTCATTAATGAACTAAGTTCAGAAATGGATTTCTATAAATTTCTAAGAATGAATTTAGAAAATTTCATTGAAGGTAAATCTGCTGGACAGAGAACTTAGTACTTCTATGTAATTTTTATCAATTATTGTACATATTTTATCAATTATTGTACACAGACATTTTATTGAGCTTGCATTATACATTTCACAAAGATTGAAGGGAATATTTTAGAGAGAAATTTGTTTCGCCCTATGTCATTTTTTTTTATTTTCTGAGAAAAATTCCTTTTTCCTAAATTCTACCTGACCACAAATTGAATGTTTCTTCTTTTTGCTGATCTGTTAACACATTTGGCAAGATATCAAATGACAGAGTACATAGAGGGCGTTTTAATTTAAATTCTGTTTAAGAAAAAGAGCTCTAATTTCCCATTATTACAAAAATCTCTTCATAACTCTTTCTCTCTTCCCTTCCATATAAATCCATAAATTAAGAATCATTCATCACTGAGTTCTGCATTCCGGATAATGTTTTATAGGCGTCGATTGTGATGAATCTATTTCTACCTCATATCGGTTCGTTCGCTTCATTTGAGCATTAACGTAATTCATTTGCTTGGAAGATGAATCTTCATTGTTATTCTCTCGAAACCGCGCTTTTTCTGCTACTGAAAAAAACCGGTTTAATTGTTTGATAGAAAATATAAATTCACTTTTTCAAACATTCTATCCAATTACTTCATAGAAAAAAGATAAAGAAAAGTCTAGACTAGACAAGATAATCATCGCATTTTTGGTAGTGCTGTTGCATTCAAATTTTTAATAGATTCCAAGTCATTTTTACAAGTTTGCAAACAATAGCCTCTTTATTTATTACTTCCTTCCTTTTAGATTTTTTTATCTTGTAAATGCAACTTGTGTTGTAGTATTCATTATTTCAAAATATCAGTGTAAAGTCTTAAATGACTTAACTGTTTTCCTGCTTATTTGTTACCCGGCGTAATTCAAGTAATAATCCGCTAATTTTTCCATCTTTCTGAGCAATCTCTCTTTTCATCTCGCGTATCCTATAAGTCACGATCATTGATAATTATACAACACCAAGAATAAATTAAAGTGTGTTATACACCAATCGTAGAGGCATTTACTTGTTATTGAGATCGAAGTAAAGTTGGTATAATAGTTACAGCGACATAATTACATATATTAACGGTAGAGGAATTTCTCAAAATTCGTTTTAAAAAAATTTGCGAAGTCGAAAAATATGAACTTACTCCTTTTCTTTTTTTTCAATCTCATTTTCTAAACGAAGTAAATTTCCCTTATCTTCTATATTTGCTTCCACAGAAATTACCATTGAACGCTTTATTTGTGCAATCTCATCCCGAAGTGCCGCAATAATCGATAGCTGCAAAAAATAGTTTAGTCATAAGTTTGAAAATGAAAAAAATATCGAACTAATCTATTCTCAACTATCCTTTGATTTTTCTTTTCGCTTTATTAGTTTTACCCAAAATAAGAACGGATTATAAAGTGATTATCCAGCGATGAGTAAATATAACAAATTTTACAAATCCGTTTAAAGCTGTCACACAATATCGCAACAGAACGTTATTTTTAAAAACAGGATATGATATATTGATCTTACTCTTATCTCTGATTGTTACAGCTTTTACTCGTAAATAATGTTATGTTTAAGCTTGAAAAGGATGGAATTTTATATGGATAGGAAATTTTTGTTTTTGAATAACTAAATTGTTAATAGAAATAATCATCATTTCACATTTTCATCATTCGTTTTCTGCGTTTTGTATAATTGTTCCCTTAATTCTGCTTCCTTACTGTCGGCATCATCACATTGTTTTTCCAGCCAACTTATATCCCGGTTTCTGCAGAGTAATTTTTCCTTCAAATCCTAAAATTTAAGAAAAATTTTTATCAAACAGGGAGGAACTGAAAAAGAAATTTAAAATTATGACTATTAATTCATGACGAGCAAAAACATAAAAAAAAAAGAGCGAAAAACAATTTCTTACTTCATTTTCTGCTTTCAACTCAACAATCAGAGATTGCAAACCATCTATTTTCTCTTCACTGAAATCAGATTTAAGTTTCGCAACATCATTCATTCAAATACCATTGATAAATTTTGCGAAGAATAAAAAAACTTACAACTTATTTGACAGATTCGACTCTATACACTCAATGTCTTTTTCTTCACTGCAACTTGGCAATTTATCCTCACTCATTTTTTGCCTAGCTAATGAGGAATTTGTTGTAAATTGCTTCTCATCTTCAGTACTGCAGCTTGCTGTAAATGACTGCTGATCTTCAGTATCGATAGCTGTCTTGATGACCGTAGATGTAGTATCGCTCACTCGATTACTACTCTGATTTGATGTTTGAAAATTAGTCGCAATATCTGCTTCATCATCATCGAGCTGAATACAACTCAATTTATAAAGCAATAAATTGCAAACTTGAACTTTGAAGAAGAAATATCAAAAGCTTACTTGCAAAGTCGTAAATGCGACCACCGGCGCCTCATAAAGGGTCATCGTGTTTGGTTCCTCTGACAATTCATCAATAACACTAACTTTTGACTTCTCCGCGACACGATTCTGAAGTTTAAACCAACTAGTTTTCTTGTCTTTTTCAAATAAACGATATAAATTATTACGATGTTTACCTCATACAACTGAAAGTGCGAATCCGAATTGTTATATGGTAGTAGCGTGTCTGTACCTGAACGAGCCCAGTTACCACCCCACGTTTGCCTTCGAGCACGACGATCGCTAAGTTTCTAAAATTGAAATTCGAATTTTCAAGATGCCGAAAATTCTAAATCCAAAGACTTATGTTCAAAACTTGCATGTTGATATTCGAACCCTTTGTAAACAACCCACTTGAGTAGATTGTGGAAGCATTCGACTTGAAAGAATACATTTTCTTAAACGCTCGACTTCCTTGCCTAATTCAATATTTTTGTTAAGCAGTTCACGCTCTACAGTTTCGCTTTTCCGATTGCCCTGAAAAGCTGTCGAAGAATTGTTCATGATGCTATTGAAGTAACCGTAAGGAAGAACAGTCCCTTAAGTTGGTATAACTTCAGGATTAAATTTTGAATCGAAAAAAATCGGCATTCACTGTACAAGAAAAAGTGATATTTCAACCTCTAATTCTGCCTTCAAACGTTCAATGGTTTGAATATATTGCGTTAATATCCCTTCTGCATTCCAATTCTTCCGTGGTTTATTCTTGATCTTCTTTGCGCGTGCAGCAAACTATAAAACAAGTCTTTTTGAAAAACATTTCCAGAAAAATTGTCTAAAATGGAATTTTCATTAATCGTTAAATGTAAACTAACTCTGAGTGTTTGTAATGTTTGCGTAACTTCGGTAGGTGAAGCAGTGCAGATTATTAATGTTCGTGCATTACCACCCAATGAACTTTTTAGTAAACGCGTTAACTTCGAATCGCGAAAATTCACATGACCATTCCTAAACTGATTATGATTGGAAAAAAGATGAATATAAAAAATTTACCCTTCTAAAAATGTATCTGTGATCATATGTTTTTTAATTTTTAAATTCGTACAAGAATTTATGATTTAATAAAAGAAAATGATCCTTTGTGATTTCGTTTGTTGAACAATACCTTCTACTTACCCTTTTTCACTTAATTGATTTATAACTTTTTGTAAAGCCAAGAGACTGGTGTTGATTTTGCCACTTTCTTTTAAACGATCACCGTCTCCTCCCGATTGTTTCGCACTTTCACTACCAGCTAAATCTACCACATTCTGAAATTTGCCAACTCTGGAGCATCTAATTTGTAAAATTTTCAAGTTTTATCACACTATCTGTACTTTAAGCAAATCAATGTGAACTTACCAGAAATGAAACATAGGAAGAAGAATCCGAAGCAACAGTATCGTCATAGCATTCGATTATAAAACGAAGAATGACATGTGATCGTGATGAACGTTCATTAAGAGCAGTTTCACCAATTACACGATTTGCTAAAATAACAGACCTTCAAAATCCTAAATAGTGAAATAATTATTCAAAACTTTATTGCTATATATGACAAATCTTCGTATGAAACACAACTCGAAGATCACTCCTGTTAACAATGACAGAATAGAAATTTGAAATGGTTAAAATTTTAAAAAATGAAGAAATAATACCAAATGCTCGTTGGATTAACATTGTGACACCATGCTTGCAGACAATAACCTCCTCTCGCAAACCATCTACTATTGTTTTCTCTTTGAATTCCTTTACTGGTAAATCAGCGACCGAATCAGATAACAAATCTCGCACTTTTTCATTATAAATTTCAATGCACGATATGCGTAACATATATCGTTTATCGTTTCCCTAAATTGCGAATATTCGTTTCCCTATTCTTAAAAAATGTAGATTCAAAAAAAAAAAAAAAAGATTCACCATGATCGAATATCTCCTCACATATTAAAAAAGAAAAAACTGTTTTATTGTTTAAAAGCCTTGCCAAACTAGATCTGTGCGAGACTTGAATTTTTTCACTGAAACTATGCTTTTTTTTTTGAAACAGTGCCTTCGATCCATGATTCTTTTGTTAAATACAATAAATTTTTTCATTTATACTTAGTGCAAAACTTACTTCTAAAATTTTTGCAAAAATTGTGTCGAGCGCCATTTGAACAATGCCTTCTGCATTATCTGTACCAAACATAGTATATGTTTTACCAGACGCAGTTTGTCCATAAGCAAATAAAGTTCCATTATAACCAGCCATAGCCGATTCTACTACATCCTTTGCTGAACTATCATAGACGTCCTGTGTTCGATCTACATCACGGTATACTTGATCTGGAAAGCACGACTAAGAAAATACTTTATTTTTGATTTCTGATCTAGTTTGCGCACAGAAATATCTGAACTGACTTGTTTTTGAACAAATTTTCCTCTGACTGATTAATTTTTATTAAAGAATAGTTTACAAATACGCTCAAGTATATCAGCAATATAACGTGCTCTGTACTAGCCAATTATAATCTAATGTCTAGAATATATCGTATGACCAGAAACTTTTCCATCATAAGAATTCCTTAAATTAAGTTTAAATAAAAACGGTTTACCAAAAATGTAACTTTTCTCGTCTCCATCAATAATAGTGTTACCATCGATAACCCTCCAGTATACTTCAGCTGCTGATTCCCTGTAAGATGAATGGATGTAATGTCGTCGAAGATTGAAATGATACTGGTTATTTTTCCCCGCAAAGAAATAAAGAAATAAATCCTATCTAGAAAAAAATATTTTCATATGGGACTTCTTATCTTCAAAAAATAACCTCAGACAAACAAATATCACTTTACTTAATTTCAGCACAAGGATACTTAGGAATATTCAAAGAAATTTTCAATCATAACTGAGCTATTGAATGACAGTAAAATTTATAAATAAATAATGAAAAACCTTGCAAGAGGAGGTCGCATTCTGACAACCACTTTAATGCTATCTTCCACGACATCAGTTTCCATAATCTTATCTCTCTTTAAAAGTATAATTGATGAATACAGATGACTGCTCCAAACGCATTATCGGTTTAAAAAAATTTATAAAAATTCGTAAAATGCCAGTCAAAAGTTAGCATTTGGATGATCCATGAAATCTATAGAACAACAATTAAAATTGGTTCTCGAGAAAGAATCATATCCCAGAAATATGAATCGAATAGTGAGCTATCCGAGTATCACAATTCCTCAAATAAAAAAAAGCCTACTCTTGAGAAGTCTCAAATACCAGTACCAACCAAAAGACCGAATTCTACAAAGCACAATAATTCAATAACTCATTTTTCCTTAATTTAAATTAAATTATTCTAACAGTCTAACAGCAGGAAAAAGACCTCGTCCATTAGCAGCTCCCTCTCTGCTTTCCTTAAATAAAAATTAATCGACTGCATTATGCTCAAACTGGTAGTATAAATGAAAAATGAGAAACTGATAAAATAAAAGCTCTCAAATAATCCAAAAATACATCATTTAAAGTTTCTGAATAACTTTTATTATCACAGTAAGTCTTCAATACCCCGGTATTTCCCAGAAAATCTCTCCCAGCATCCCAACCTCTCTCAGACCACTTTCCCCAATAATAAGCGCAACAAATTTGGATTAAGTTCCCGCATTTTCGACTGTTGCAGCCATATTGTTAATTATTACCTCTCATTATGTTATTAATTTTTGTTATTAATATTTACTGCTAATTATCGCAATAATTACTGTCACTTCTATTAGTAATCATTATTATTACAAAACGTGTCAACATTATTATCACTATTATTGTTTATTTTTGATGAACTTATTAATTGTTATATTAATATTATTGCTGATGTAACAAACTTTTTCAAATTTATTTGATTTAAAAAAATTCTTTTTTTAATTTACTGGAAAAAAGGATGACAATATCAAACAACTTTGGGCAAAATTTTATTCCATAAATACATGAAAATAATTTACGCCCGTTTTAGCAAAATATTAGTCTGTTATTTTTGACAAATGAAGTGAAAAAATTTTCAAAAAAACGTTAACACATAATCGAATTTAATTTTCCATATAAATCAATTTTTAGCATAAAAGTTCGATAGGAAAGAAAAGCAATTCTAAATTTTTAATTGTCCATCAAAAACAATCCAAACAAATGTCATTTGCTAATCAGTTCTATCGTATCATAGCAACAATCACATTTAATTAGGGTTGACCTGGATGAACACCTGTCAATATGTTCACGTGTTGGATAATAATTGGTAGTCATAGATTTTCGATATTCAGGAATATTAATTCTTTTGACATGACACGGTTCACCTCGATCAACGGTACACATTTTAATTGGATATGATTCTGATGCTTTGAGAATTTTCTTTTTCTGAAAGAAATTATTTGATATTTCTTAGCAATTTCAAACAACAAGATGAAATCCTGTTGTTTGAAATTAATCAATAAATTCTTCTGTTCTTAAATGATTCAAAAATTATTCATAAAAGGTTAAATTATTATTAAATGTTTTATAAATAATTTTCGTAAAATTGAAAATGATGAATAAATTTTAGTGGGAAAAAAAATTTTTTCCTGATTTGAAGAATCTCATTTCATACCTTATAATTCCATCTCTTCAACATTATAAAAGAACAAAATTCATAAGTATATGATTTCATAAAATTACCATTTACATATAATTTCAAAAATATTAACAATGAATCAATAGTACAGTGAATAATTAATTGAACAATTCAAATAGTTTAAATCCTGTTGTTTGAAATTAATCAAGAAATTATATATACCTGTACAGGTGCAATGTTCGATCGTATGAATCGTCGTGGATAACATTTCTGTATACGTGTGTAAATAACTCTTTGTTGAGGTGTCATATCAGTGATATTTTTCATGATAGCAAAATGTAAACCATGTGATATGCGATACACGACATATTCCCAGTTCATATGCCATCGTTCAGCCATTTCCATTTCCATCGGTGGAAGGATCAATTCTGAGGATAATCGAGTTACTGTACGACGCTTTATCTAAATGAAAAAAAAAAGAAAAAAAGACGAATGAAAATATTTGAATAAAATAAATCCATTAAAAATTTTTGTATATACTGACTATATTACAAGAAAAAAATGACAGTGATACTGTGATCTACTGATTAGAGCAGTTAATGATATATTATTTATTGATTCCGAAAATTTGTTTTTTTTGAGGTAATGATTGAATAAATAGGACGTTTCATATCTTTTTGCATTTAAATGTAACAAAATGACTAATAATTATTTTAGAAATATTTTGCATATTTTCATATATTTTTGAATTCATGCAAATTCAAATTTATTCGAATTGAAATTAGTAAATTCGCAATAGATATGAAATATATCTAAAATGTGTACTTCTGGAAATGCAAAACGGATTAGAATTATTAAATAGCGAGACTGTAGAAGTTTGGAAATCTCGCAGATGGCAAAGATTCTCGTAATAACTATCAGATTAATAATTCTGACCTAATACCGTCTAATAATTAGGCAGCCATTTAATGAATTTAAGACGAGCACCTCGACAATTTACCTGTACTTCTTTACTCGATGAAATGACATGCCAATAGATCATATATATTGGTGAGGAGCGAAGCTGAATACACGTTGAACGACCACTTATTGACGCAAAAGCATATCGTACAGGCCATTCATCTGTTTCTAAGGATGGTACCAAACGAAACATTGATTGTGCTACCTAAGATAATGACAGTATGATAAAAGCAATTATGTTAAAGTAAGAAATGAGCTGATATTAAATGAAGAAAAAAGATTAATTGATTGACTTGCCATAGTTTGAAATTCACGAAAAATTTTGTAGACTTCAGACGTTCGCTTTAATGTATCTACTTGAATAAAATTTGTTCGTTGCAATGCTGAGCATCGAAGTAAAATGGGTTCACGTTTTTCCACGTCTAATTCTTGTAATCGTTGCAACGGTCTTTCTTAAATGAATGAAAATTTGATGTTGAAGTGATGCTTCGGTAAATTTTTCACTCTCTCTTTTCTTTTTTAACACATCATAACTTTATCAATCATTTTTCTTGCCATGCTTGGAACAATTATTTATGGCTTACCTTTTTAATATTAACAAAAATTTATTTAAAAGAATTTTGCATTAATACATAAAATGTACCAACGAAAATAGTAGAAGCGGAATGAGCTAAATATTTCGGTTTTGGATCACAATATGCTCTCTCACGCAACCGCTGTGCGGGCATTTTTGAAATTGAAATTGATTAAAATTGAAATTGTTACATTTATCTATATGCTAATGGAACTGCAAATGCTGAATTTATGAATTTAAAACTTGAAAACGAATATTTGAAATGAAAATGCAATATATGTTAGAGTCTTTTGGTGGAAGAAAGAAAGGAAATTAGAGGATATTAGAAACGATTGATATCGTTAGCATTTGCTATTTTTATTCGAAAAAACTTAAATTAGAGGCGCATTGCACACCTCAAATCCCTCACTAATATGCTATCTTCACCTCTGATTCACAATACTTAATAATATTGCATTTAGTATGAAATATTTAAATAAATCTTTGACTTCGATTTCATAGCTATGTGCAACCGTCGCAATACAATGCCATCCATATGCATCATTTACCTGCAATAGTTTTCCGCTGCAAAAACTATCACTTGTGGAAAGTTTTGTGGTTTATCAAGAACATCTTCAAAATTCCATAAAGTAACTATAACATAATCATTACTAAGTCTTTAAAAGCTAGAATACGATTCAAAATTGGAAAATTCGAATACCAAAAAAGCGTTGCTTTTATTCCTCCAAATAAACTATATTTTTAATTCGAATAATACACAGTATCTCCCAGTCCAATTCATAAAGTCTCTAAAATTCTAAATGAAATAAGTGATTTTTATCATATATATTCCATTTTTTTTATATTAAACATAATTCTGAAAAGTCGAAGGAAGAGATGTATGAAACAAAAGACATACATAATATATCATAACAGACAATAAAGAATCACTACAACGGATGATTATAAGAAAGACAAAAAAATAAAAGCATATGAAACATGCAAATATTAAATACCTGAAAACAGATATACCTACAAATACATCAAAAATAATGTCCAAGAATGCTTCATTTAACTAAAATATCATCAAACGTGATGAAAAATACAAAACATTACACAATTATGATAAAATACGAGCATACTGTACATGCAAGCCGTAATAAAACAAATGCGTAAAAAAGTACATAAAAACTTGAAATATATGAAAATAGAAATTTCTTATATAAAAATATTATTAAGAAATTTTCGGAAGTCTTAGAAAAATTAATAAATTTGAGCCTTAAAGACAGTAAAGTGATCAGTACAAAATAGAAACAGTTGAATCCTTTGGAAATGAAAACATGAAATATACAAAAATAGAAATTTCTCATATGAAATCATCATAAAATCGTCTTTTATGAATTCAAATTTCAATCTTAAATTTCTAACACTAATTTGCACAACCCAGCTTTTAGCAAAATCATAAAATTCATACAAATTATTAAGTCATTATTAGAATAATTAATTTACATATTATCCTTGCGTCGCATTTCTCTTAATATACATACATTTGTCTCCTGACATTTCCTTAAATTGAAATCGGTTATTCCTAGAGTTAATGGCTGCTGCTTCTGAAAATAATCTAATCCTCGACCAATCCGATAGGTCCAACCATTGTCAAATCTGTAAAGAAAAGTGATTCCAATTCAAAATAGATTAGTTTTGGAAGATAATATAAAAAATTCGATAGACGGACATATTCATAACATAACATAGAAATGAGACAAGCTTTGCAGTTAATGAAACAAATTCTGAAAACATGAGTTTTACTGCCTCAAACAGGATGAAAGCTATGACCTAATTTCTCGATCATGCATGGTACCGCTGCACTTCACTTTCAAAACAATATCTCGTAACATAAGATCAATCCTCAGCTGTTCCAATTGCAACCACAGCTCATGCAAAGTGGTCTGTTCCGCTTGTGTACAAAGCACAATTTCACAAAGATTTGGTGCTCTCGATACCAGCAGCTCGCAGAATGCAACTAAATTTATAATCTGAAATGAATTTTAATAATTTAATAATTTTTCTTTCCAATAATAGTGCCAAACTATCGCTTAATAAAGGATATGCTGTGAGATCCTACCAAGTTTAATCTCACAATTTTGTTTATTTCCAATGAAAAGGTACATTTGTCTGTTAGCAGCCATAAGGATGTGTAAAGCATGCATAAAAAAGTTGTTTTAAGATACATCAGAAGTCAAGCTAAGTATATAGTTTAGTTTGCATGAACAATGTGCAGATTGAAACAATTTTAAAGAACAAACTTCAAGTTAAAATCTCGAATATGATTTTGGAACTTTTGATACCATACAATCATAATAACCTGTGATTTATTTCGCAAATATGGTTCATCGATGATAACTGACTTTAACTGTTCATCTATACCATCACCAAAGATTGTATCATAACCAAAACCAATAGTACCATCTTCGATCCGAAACTCCTTCACTAATTTTAAATTAAATTGTTTTCGATCTAACAAATTATCTGATGCTTCTGCTTTGGCGAATACAGCACCCAAATTAAAACTACCTGAAAAAAAGTATTGGATACGATGTGATTTCACAATACTTCTATGCTACAAATTAGAATAAGAGCATTGGATACAAGAAATGAACAAACAACCTATTTAGTTATAATAACAATAAACATACGGTTGCAATAAAACATATATAATGGTTATGAAAACATACGATTACAAATATTTACAAAACAAACAGGCATCTTCAACTCAGAAATTTGTTAGATATAAAACTATAATGTGCACATGCCATGATTTGAAACATGAAATTTATGGATTAAGCGAGGAAAAAAACATCATACCGATAGTATGTCGTTTTTTTGTCGTGTTATTTTCTGCTTGGGCATTGCTTTCACATGATGCTTCAGATGTACATTCAGATATTTGTTCAACATCTTCAAAAAGAAAATTTTCAAGTGAAAAATGGATAAAGGAAATTACTTCAATAGCATTCATATCTTAGTTTTTGATGTCAAAGATAAGATTATAACTAATGATATGACAATAATAATTAATGATGGTAAAGGAGATGTTGTTAATGATGATGATAATTGAAAAATACATGTCACTAAAGTTTTAGTGTTGTTCAAAAGTTTTTCGTAGGTGAATATTTGTACCATCAAAAATACTACTTTATTCATTCACTTCACTAATCATTTAAATTCTTTAAAATAATCTATTTGACAAAATTAGGCGTAAATTAATTAATTTCGCATAAATATGTCGTATGTCTAATAAAATGAAATTCATTCTGTAGAATTCCCTCATTTGCTGTTGCAACACAGCTTGTAAATTAAAATTACCCAAACAGCCAAACTGTAATACTGTACCAATGAGACATGATTGTTCTTACAGTATTCCCTGAAAAGATAGAAATTACGATAACTCACCATTAATAGAAGTTATATATTGCGATTCGTTGTTGATACTATCAGTTGTTGTTGATTTATCCTTTCTATAATCCATGAAAACCCTCCAGAAGGGTAATCCACCACCGCGATTCCTGTCGTTTATGATGTTGCAGTTTTGGAACAAATAATGCGTCTCCATGAGTTTAATTATTAGCTGCAAAATTGTCAAATACAGAAATGAATTATTCAATAAAAGTTGGAAAATATTTAAAATCTAATTTTGGCTTTATTCACGGCTTTTATCCTCTGTTTAACACTGCTGCATAAACCTTTCCCTTCTAATTTATCATAAATATACTGTACGTCTATGTCGAAGTGAGAAGAAGGAGAGGGAAATAACTAAAAGAATATTAAACGAGATAGACAAAATTTTGCATAAATTTCAAAGAATTCTGAAATTTCAATGGAAATAGGCTCCAACTTAAAAAGTATTTTCACCACATCCGATAGCAAATCTCACGATTGAGTAAGAATGCCTTTTGACCCAGCAATAGATTACTCCTAACATCTTTTCTAAATTATTTCCAGTAAATTAGTGTATTCTCTTGCTCTCTGACCGTATTATTCTCTTCCGTCTCTCCCGTCAGCAACGTATTTTCTCGCATTTCTAATAGGGGGTCTCTGTTTTTTTCTATCACCACATTCTCTTCTTGACATCAATCTTTGTTTCTCCTCACTGCCACACTCCTTCACACTACCCTCATCTTCATCCTACGTCTTTCTCTATATTCATCCTGCGTCTTTCTCTCTCTAACAATGTACACCCTCCATTTCAAAAATTTTTTCGGGACCTGCGTCCCGAAATACCAGCTAAAACGGCCCGGAAGGATTTTTTTTTTTTTTGTTTAGTGTTTTCACTTTTTGCTATCGGATCACTTCGTGATGTCTGCCATTGTATATCATTTGACCCGTTGATCGATTGACCGGATCTCAATGTTTAATTTTAGGATTTTCGTCAGTTCATCACGAAAAAAAAAGAAATGGAATCACAATTGGAAAAACTGGCAGATGAAATGTGGGATTTGGTTATTTTTAGGATTTATTATCATTTTATCAATGTTTATATGTGAATATGCATGTGTTGGGAAGATATGTTCTTCCTTAAGTGATAGACTGTAGAAGCAATAGTTGAATCATAAGGAGACGAACAGAAGTAATGAATTATTACAAAGATTCTCTACACTAAGTAATACTACGAGATTTCCTGGGTCATATCATGCAGTAATAGTACAAGTAATATCATTACCCAGGAAAGCTCGCAGTATTACTGCGCATCTCTTAGTATAGAGAATCATGATCATTTTTTATGGAGTTTTTATTAACTCTGTGAATGCTTAGAAGAAGTGCTCAATAATTTAACAAATGGGATTGAAGTATCGCCTGAAATTTCGCGCTTCGTGTAAACAAGTTAGCAGATGAAGTTTACCCTCTCCTTATTCTCAAAAAAATATTTTTTCAGTCTAGGAAGTTTTCGAATTTTATGAGAAGTTTTATGTGATAGAATGAACTTTATGTAAAATAAAGAACTGCTCGAAGTGAAATGAGCAATTAATGTCCTCTGATTTCAGGGTGTCCAGAGAGCAGGTGAAAGGAGTGCTTTGTGCTGACGAATCAGGCTTAAATGTATGTAGTCGTGGAACACTCAGTAATGCAACGGGTGATGCAGTAGTTAATTTATTAAAATTTGCTAGCAGTCTGGAGCCAAATTTACCCACGTCATCCATTGTCATCGAGCTTGCAGGTTTTTCATCCATTTATTTTCTCTATTCTAATGAGATTTGTCAAATTATGGCTATGATGAAAAAATTCATAAGGTATTATCAATCACTGGGCATAATAGTAGTAATTGAGCTATTGAGCTATGTTGTATTGGTATGCATGATTAATAATGGGAATGGAAGCTATTTGAAATTTTTGGATAATACAGTTGAAATTATTAGACATTGAGCAATATTTGGAGCATGATCCTGTTTACCATTATGTAATAAACTACCTCAAAATATTCCTACGTTTGTAATGAAATCATATCTTTATTATATTTATTGATTTAGGCCGTTGATTCAGACAGAAACGACAAAAATCGAAAAAAAAATTACAGGTATCGATGGCAGTGGACTCTTGATAACAAAAGAAGGACCCTTAACAACAGCGGTACATCGTGTTGATAGGAAGAGTCGTGATTTTGATTAGTTTTGTATATCCGAATGTAATTGACAGTGCATCATTTAGCATTAGTCTTTTCAGAGTTACACCCATAGCTTCTTAACTCCTCCATGATGTCACACAAAACGGTCTCGAGAATGGAAGGATGAGCAATGTCTAGCCACAATTCCAGAAAATGCAAAAAATACCATAGGCGACTAAATATGAGTGTTTCGATTCACCCCAAAAATTCAGTCAAATGGTGAGCTAGCACCAAAACAACCTTTTCCGATATATTGAATCTTTTTTCCAAAGCACTATCGGTACTATACGCATATTATATCAGCTTGATCAGTTGGCTTGAATAATCCTTATCATGTTTTTGTTTTCCATTTATTTTAAATCATATATTCTCCGAGATTAGTACATGATGTAAGGCGAATAAACTGAACATCTTATTCCACTTTACTTCTAACACTGCATGCAGTATTATTTGGCAGGAAATTTGACGCTTTTAATTGTTATAACTTCGATCAGTTTTCAAAAAATGATCACTAATCACTGTGTCCTGCTTGGATCTTCGGGCTAAATTGCCTTATCTTTGAAAGCAGTAATGCATTTTTGTCATCGTTGGTAATTTTTCATTTTATTTATAAAATCAAAATCCACATCCAGAACAAATGGAAAAAGATGTGACTTTCTGCCAAAAATTTTCAACAACTGAAAAACAATTGGAGAAAAAAAAAGAACATCATACCAACGAAAATATTACACAAAAAGTAGGAAACACAAATTCAGGCCAAATAAAACAAATCTCGTGAGGAGGAAATATAGTTTCTGCACATTCCGGAAAATGTAACTGCCGCACATACACAAACGGGACAATTTTAATTTATCGTGATCATCACATCAAAACATCCCAAAAATATTTCTAACTTTACATATTTTAGAACAGAAATTATGAAAGGAGGGATTTGTTGACTCGTTGACGGATGGGAAAATAAACTGTAGAATGCGGTTCAGTGATATCCGATGATCACTGCAACAACTCAAGAAGCAATACTTGATTTACCTTTAGGAAAATTATGGAAATCAGGAATGAAACCGTTCCGGAATAGTACTTATGGGACAACAGATTAAAGAAACAGATATGTGTTCAGTGTCACAGCAGGCTATCTGCTCAAATATATAAAACACACAAGCACCATTAATACTGCTATTATTAGCGAGTACAATAATAGTACGACAAATCATAACTAATCTGTAGCTCGTTTGCGTACACTTTCTGTTACAGATGTTTTCTTAGAACTATTTGATAATGAAACTTTTACCCTATCCAACTAATATGAAAATTGACAGAATTAACCTTGAAAAGTTGATCATTTCAAGTTTTAACAACATTCTAACTTATGTTATAATCACTACAGAATAGAATAACAAAGATGATCCAACCGTTGCAAGATGAAATTTAAAAAGAAAAAAACTCGAATATTTTACTTGTCATGGAGATGTTAACGGAAAGCCTAAGACCAGTAGCTTTATGTGAGGAAGATAAAGTCCCAGTGAGGTAATCTGGTGTTTAGTGAAAAGAAAAAAAATCGAAATAGGCAAGTTCCGCATAATGAGTGTTGCTGCATCATAATAAATGCATTAATCAGATCCCTCCCTCCATTCCTACCCCAAAAAAGAAAAAAGATGATGGAAGTTGAGGATCAAAGTGATTATTGATACTGTCAGATTTGGATGATTTCATTAGTTGATATGGTTAGTGAGACTGTTTGATGAAGAATGTCAGATGAAATTTCATTTCCGAATGAACTATCCCTCTCAAGTCTTGGTCATTAATGTTCATCAAATTTAATCTAACAAAGACAAAAAAAACTCAAAAGCTGTGCAGAAATTCTCACCACAACTATCTCACATAAAATTGCTAATTTTCAAAATTTAAACTGCTATCAAAAAAACGGATACAAATTTACCGCCATCTATATTCAAATATATATTTATGAAAAACTCGAGCGCCTATTTGTTTCATTTAATCAAAAATGAAATTTTTTATTTTAAGAAATGAGCAAAAATGACCGAAAATTGAAAAAATGATCGAAGAATATGTGTGAGACGGAAATTTTGTTCGGCAAATAATTCAAAAAGATTTTATAATGAAATAACAAAAATAACAAAAAGAAGGGACATTATTCAAATGTGCAACGCATACTGACCATCGTGCATATGTTGCATTTTTTTTTTTTAAACAATAAACAATTCAAAAACATTTGTTGCATAGATTGTTTGTTATGTGGAAAAGAAAGAAAAAAAAAGTACATTTGAAATGATTTTTCACTCATCCAGTAAACATTTTAGAGCAGCAAAATTTTGTATTATATGTACATCAATCAATATTTAAAACATTTTCAACATTGCACTCTACCTGAAGAAAATCCATCTACTATTTCAGTTATACCTAATTACAACATCAATGGAATTCAAGTTATCATGTTAAAAAATTTGTATATATATATATATAGATAGATAAATCTGATGCTCAAAAATGATTGTTCCATTTAAATTCCTTACACTTTTCTAACTTAAATTTATAACCTTAGGCTTTGTTTATTCCCGTAATTCCATATATCCTTACTGCTAATATATACTGAATTCGAAATAGCTAAATTAATATTTTGAAATTTTTTTTTCTCTTTCCTTTGCAAAAATACGATCTTAAGGCCAACAAAAATGATCAAAATTTGTTCTCTTTTTCAAAGAGTATTTTTCCAAAAACATAAAAAAACAAAATTGCGTACAAAAAGTGAGATGATATTGGTAGTTGCTGATTCTCGACCTCGGATGCAACAATTGAAAAATAGCCATTTACATTGGAACGTTTCTTTATACTCATACCATTTCTTCAACTGGCAAAATGTAAAATAACGAATTCAGAAATAAACAGTTGACAATTAGCAATCACCAATAGATAAAAACGAAAGAACCGTCAAAAGCATTCAAAATTTACAGGAAGAAAGTAAAAGGAAGGACATAAGGGAAAAAGGAGAAATAAATGAAAAAACTGAAAAGTACAATATTACAAAACAACTATCAATTTAAATTTATCATTTCCTCCTATCCTTAACAACCAATTAGACAAATAACTAACCATTAAATCAGTTTTCATCAAATCCGAAATTTACATTTCAATAAAAATTTTTTTCCTCTTTTGAAAATTTAAAAAATTACGTGAATCATGGGATTTTTTTCAATGTTAATTTGCTAGCAAAATGATTTTTCCCTATCCGAATTTGTAAATTGAAATGACCCTTCCCCTTCTCGGAAAATTTACAAAGTTCAATTATTAAAAATAACTCAATCAACAATAAAACAATTTCATTTTTTTTGTTTTTTGAAAACAACTGAACATTTTACAAAGCGTAATACCAGCAAAAAAAATAGAAAAAAGCTGAAATAAGCAATGAAAATTGAGGAGACGCAAACAAACAACGAAATTTTTGAATCAAATTAAGAAAAAAAAGAGAAAAACAGGCACTCACTTTTTAGATTGCAAATTTTTTATTATCACTTTGACTTTTAATTTTACGTTGCCATTCTCATTTAATAATCACAACAAGTTTGTCTCAGAAACGCAAAAAAAACAAAACAAAATTCCTAAGCGCATTTTTTTCCTTTCTCTCTCTCTCTCTCTCTCTCTGCTTAATTTTGTTGCATTTGTGATGGTTATGAGGGTGCTAGTGGTGGTGGTAGCGGTTGAGTGGTGTAAATAATCTGACCAGATGATGTTTGATTTGTTGGTACCGCAACACCACCATTGCCACCACCACGACCAACAGCAGCAGCAGCAGCAGCAGCAAGAGCAGCGGTAGCAGCATCTGTATGCATAGTAACTAATTCTGGTACAAAATTTTGCAACGGTGTCGTCGATGTTACCACTGCACCAATCATATTCGGATCAGTTGTTGCCTGTAAATTAATTAAAAAATTTTTTATTTTTTTTAAATTTTTTCTAACGAATTTCTAGAAATTTTAATACCTAAAATTTCATAAAATATTTGTTAGTAATTTATGGTATGGAGAGAAAAAAAAGAAAAAAGTTCTGCAGCTATCGTTTTGCTTACCAACTAAAGTTCCTGATGTGTGACATCGAAGTAACAGGTGACGTTTAAATTTCGAAACAAAACTTCTTTGGATAATTAAGCGATCGTGCACACTGCAGTATTAAACGAAATGTTATCTTATCAATTATTAATGAATTTAAATGCGAAAATGCCGGGAGATTTATATTTCTGCACGCATTTTCTGTTTTTTTTTATTGCAATAATATGTTAATCCGTGATCCATTTTAATCGTTATGTTGTAGGAGCGGTTTATAAAATGATGAGATTAGAGTAAAATCAGAAGATCCACAGTTTATTCGATCACTACGTTATCTTCCATTTCTAAATAATAATATTAACATTAGGCCAGAAAAAAAACAAAAAAGTAGGAGAAGTAAAAAAAATAACTAACTAACCTGAACACCATATGGCCATGGATAGAGTGGAACTGTATAAGCTTGCATAGCAACCTGAGGAATTGCTGTACCAGTTGGTGCTTGATTAGCTGTTATACTTGTACCCGGTCCAATATTTGTTAATTCAGCTGTTGGATGCAGCATTGCATTAGCACCTTGAAGTGATAAATTTTGCATTTGAGCAGCAAGGTTCCCGATTGGAGCATCTCCATAACCTGTAATTTCAATTTCAAACAAAAAAAAATTATTAAAAATTCTCAAAATGTTTAAATGCATTTTGTTTAATAAATATGATTTATAACATTTTTGATAATCTTCAATTTTATCATTTCTATCTGTTCAATTAACATTCTCTATCATACTATAACAGTTTCCGACACTTTTCTCATTCTCCGCATGTAAAACAATTGTACATTTTTTTGTAGTATAAATTATTCATATATTCTAAATGAATATTTTTAAGATAGTCCTGCAAAGAGATTTAACATTGAATTTACCTGAGAAAACATGATATTGAGGATGTGGACTGTAAACATAAGGCGATGGTGGTGTTAATAGGTATTGGTAGTTTGGATTAGTGCGGATATACTGCCCGCTTTGATCATATGGTGGTGTTGCAAAACATGGTTGCTAAAAAGAATAAAAAATTAATTTACAAAAAAAATTCCATAACACAGTAATATATTAAAATATATTCGTGATATAATTATAATATTGTTGAATGAAGGAAAAAAATAAAACACAAAAAAAAAGGAATTGAAACTTACAGTAATCTCAAGATGTGTAAGGCTATTACTGTACAACCCTGGAACACTTTGTAATGGCCGACTTTTTGTTTTCTTATTACTATCAGCATATTTTACCATTAATGGTAAACTACAACCCGGAATTATTTTTTTCCCATTCATTTCCTGTAAAGAAAAAAAATTATGTGTATGGAAAAAAACAGTTCAATATAAGTTGAATATCAATTTCAATCATTTTGTAATAAATTTACTTTAATAATTTTTGCACACAATTCTTCATTATCCATTCGAGCAAATCCAACACATCTACTCGAACCATCACCATTTTTCAATACTCTTGTACTGATTGTTGAACCATAACTTTCCAATAACTTTTGCAAATCTCTTTCTGTATAATTCGGTGGCAAATTTGCTAGGTACAAATTTGTTGGATCTTGTTCCTGTTGCTGAAAGAGGCTATTTTGGTTGTTTGGACTCAGCGCCTGCAATGAAAATTCAGCTTATTAAATATTTCTTATGGCAACGTTAAGAAAGAAAACAAAAAATGTCATTCACTCGAAACAGCTGCTGTAAAGAGGACTTTTTAAAACAATTAATAAATTACAGGTATAACAAAACAAAACAAAACAAAACAAACAAAATATAGCAAAATAAAGGAAAATAAAGCGAAACAAAACAAAAAGAAACGATAAAAATTTTACAATTCTTTTTTACATTCAATACTTCATACAATCTCTTCCTTGTTCTTTTTGCCTACTTTTTTTTCTCTGCACAACAATCTATCATCCTTAATTTTTGACAAAAAAAGACTGAACAAATTGAACTCTTCTTTCAAAAAGTTCAACTTGCACTTCTTTTCATAATCCATTTTTTAAAAAAAAATTTCCTCCATTCTTGTTCTCTATTTGAAAAGTGATAGAATCAAGGTGAGATGAAGTAACTTGTAAACTTTCCAGCATTAACAAGTTGCAAACTTTCCATCATTAACTTTTTATGTGAAAAAGTTATCCATTCAACTTTTTCAGTACGAATTTCTCGAACAAAAAGGAAAGATATATCCACGTACATATAAAAGATATACACTAAATCTGAAAATTTTTATTTCATTTGACGAAATCTTTGTTGCTTACTCAAAGTATACATTATAGAAAACAATCGCTCACAGTCTATAATTACCTTCGCCATTTGCGCTCGTACCTTTCCTTCCTGATTCAAGCCTTCAACAGCACGCAGTGCATCAGCCGCCTCCTCGAAATCAACAAATCCATAACGTTTACACTGACCAGTTGTCTTATCCTTCAATAAAAAAAGCTCTCATAAAATTCCTCAAATTTCAACAATCTAGATTTGTTGTTGGAAAAATTTTTGAGATTTAGAAAAAAAATGGCATAACAAATCCATAACGTTTACCATAATTGCTTTCGTTGATGCTATTCGGCCAAATTTAGCGCACATATCTCTTAGATCTTCATCGGTTGTATTTTGTTCAAGTCCACGAATGTAAACATTGGTCTAAATGGAATAATATAAACACAGAAGCGTAAAAATATAGAATCTGATTTTTCAACAATCATTTTTCATTCAGAACAAATTATTTAATTACTAATTTTCATCTCTTTCTTTCACCCTCTCTCTCTTTCTTCATCCTTTTGCCCCTTTTACAATAGTCTTCTTTTGAGATTCTTGCAAATTATTTCACAACAACCATCCATCATCCGGAAACCTACATTCCATTATTCCAGATAACTTTTCTTAACTAACCAAGCTTAATGATGGAGCTGGTGAACCAGTACTGTTCCTACGAGTACTTATACCTGAACTCCTTAGACCATTGCGCGATTGTGTCCCATCATTTGCGCTTCCATATCCATTGCACATATTTTGTTGCTGCAACAAAAAAGAAATATAACAAATTTCTAATTTTTCTACCAATTTTAAAAACATTGCAATTTAAGCAAAAAAAAAAAATTTTTTTTCTTTGAAATACAATTTAGTCATTATTTCTGCCTCCTTCAAACTAACAGTTTTTTTCTCACACATTTTCCACTATTTTTTCTCTTTTTCCCTTTCTTAAATTTAATTAACCCACAAAATTACGACAATCGTGCGATTTACAACGTTTCCTTTTTGAAATAATCACTACAAGATAAACTCTTAATAACAGGATGTGAATTTAAAAAAATTAAAATTACCAATAAATGACTGCCTTGTTCAGTTATAAATGTGAATTTAGTAGTATTAACAAGAAGTTATCGTTCAATAGAGAAAAAAAAAGTTTTTACAAAAGATCCATGAAAATGCTGAGGTCGAGTGAAATTTTGTCCCGTATATGCATTCATATGAGCATTCGATCGATATGGTGAAGGAGTGTGTCCAAGTACAGCTGATGATATCCCTGCCGACCTGAAATTCTCACCATGTAATTTTGCATAATTGAAGCAATAAAACGAGAACAATAAAAAGAGATCATCATGACAATTGGGAAGATGAATTCATTTGCAAGTAACAGTTATTTAATTAGCTCAAAAAAAATCATTTAATTTCAAAA